TCATAAAGTATTAGGTATTTTTAACATTTGATTTCATTGTTAACGTTCACAAATTTAACGAAAAAATATACCAAAATAAAAATGATAAAAAAATGATAAATCTGTTTGTACTATTAAATTACATAATCAAGATAACTGATACTTAATTAGATTAGAATTTTTTAATTACGATTATGTGATAAATTAAAAAAAGGTAAAATAATATTAATTTGTATAACTATTTGGACATTGCAACATTATTACAATTTTTTTTTAAAAAAAAATTTATTATATAATAAAAAAAAATTAAAATTAAAAAATAAAATAGTAATAAAAATAAAAATTAAATTAAAATTAAAAATAAAAAATAAAAATTAAATTAAAATTAAAATTAAAAATAAAAATAAAAATTAAAATTAAAATTAAAAAAATAAAATTAATGCCTTCTTGTCGAAAAACTTCTCCTTCGTGAAGAATATGATCTCCTTCTGTATCTTCAGGAATGGGATCGATTATCACTTGAATGATAGCGGGAATGTAATCTACAATTCTGTGAATGAGGATGATGAGAATGGGATCTATAATCTCAGCGAGAATGAGATCTATGTCAGTACTAGTATCGGCAGCGATCTATATTCTGTCTTCTATACCGATAACGATTTATGTCTAAAAATAATAAAAAATAATAAATAAATTAAAAAATTGAAGTTTTAAAAAGTAAAAATATATTTCTTATTATTATTATTCAATAAATAATTACCAGTTCAAAGCCAAAATTCGTCACCCAACTCTGCATGAAATATCTGATCATGCAGAGTTAGGTTTGTTATTGGTTGGTTGTGAGGAATCTCCCTAGCTTCCAACCTCTTGAGATTTTCATACCCATATTTTAATGAGTACCATTTTCTTCGACATTGAGAGAGAGAAGCGGTGAATCCTCTAGTAATATACAATCGATTGGATATGGTTTTCCATATTCTTTTAATACGATTATTTGGAACAAACTCAAAATCATCATGATTATTGCATCTTAATCGAATTAATTCTCTTGCAGCGTCAACATTCCATTTGAATGGAGCTACAGTAGGAGCAGCCAAAGCCATAATGATAGAAATAAAAAAAAGGAGAAGACGAAATAGACGAAATCAAGAAATAAAAAAAAATAAAAAAATAAAATAAACGGAAATCAAAAAATAAAAAGAGAGGAGGAGAAAATGAAATAAACGGGATCGAGAAATAGAGAAGGAAAAAGAAAAAAACGAAATAAACGAGATTGAGAAATAAAAAAAAGAAAAGAAAAAAATAAAATTAACGGGATCGAGAAATAAAAAAAAGAAAAAATGAAATAAACGGGGATCGAGAAATAAAAAGAAAGGAGGAGAAAACGAAATAAATGAGATTGAGAAATAGAAAAGGAAAAGAAAAAATGAAATAAACGAGATTGAGAAATAAAAAAAGAAAAGAAAAAATGAAATAAACAGGATTGAGAAATAAAAAAAGAAAAGAGAAAAATGAAATAAATGGGATCGAGAAATAAAAAAAAATGAAATAAATGGGTTCGAGAAATAAAAAAAAGAAAAGAGGAGAACGGAATAGATGGAATTGAGAAATAAAAAAAAAATAAAAAAATAAAATAAATGGCAATTGAGAAATTGACGTAAAATAAAAAATCTGAAAAAAAAATGAATTAGAAATGACGATCGAAAAAATAGGTGGAATAAAAAATCAAAAGATAAAAGAGAGAGAGAGAGAGAGAGAGAAAGAAAAAAAAAACGAATTTAAAAAAGAAAAATGAATTAAAAGAATTGAAATAACAGATAAAACGATAAGAAAAATAATCAAAAAATAAAAGATAAAGGAGACAAGAAAAGTTTATATTCGTGATTTTATTGATGATAGATTGTGAAAAACGATAGATTTGTAAGTGAAAATTACATATATTTATATCTTTTATTTTTATTAGAGAACTTTAGATAATACAATAAAATTATTATAAAAAACTGATCAAT